ATCCCTGAGGCTCAAATGAACAGTATGATGTGGCTTTCTCATCTTTTGTTTTCAATGGAAAGATAAGCGTAACTATATTTTGTTCTTTTACCAAATGAGTTAATATTGACTTATAATAATAGTTTGAATGCATTTAGTTCATCATCTTATTTTAAAAACCAAATTTATTTTAAAGTTAAAGAACTATGCTGGGAAACATAAACTTAGCATACTTTATAAATTATATGAGAAAAAAATCATTGATTCATGCTTTTATTAATTTTATCCTCATTTTTTCACTTATTGATAATCTAGTATGTACCAGAATCCATAGTAAAAATGAAGTACATAAATTTGATTAATATAAAGTCCGAGTTTTTAAGGAACTCATAAATAACTGGTAAGAGTTTAAAGTAAATTGCCGGGCAATTATTTATTTTACCTGCTATGGCAGTAATTTTCATGACAGTTATATTTACAAATTTACAAATATACTTACAAATTTAAGACAATTTCATTTTATAGAATACAATTTGGTGTATTAGAGTACAACTGGCAAAAACACAAGTGATATTGAAACTGTATCAGGAAGTACAGTGATATGGAAGCTGACCCAGCAAAGTTCAGTGTGGGTCCTCTGATTCGGGTATGGATCCATATCCATATGGTTGTTCCATAATTCAAATGATGTCTTTTTTAAAAGGAAGACTAAATTTTAAGGATAAGATTTTTTGAAATTTTGATCTTTATGAAAGTTTATCAATCATATCTATAAGACAGTGTTTTACTGAAGAACCCAATAGCATGTAATGAATATGTGTTTTAATCTTTTGCCTAAAGAGAAAAATATATGCACCGCATATACAGTTCTAGAGCATATATGATAGGCTTGAAATGAGTCAAAAATTTGAAAATTGTAAATATGTTCAGGTAATGATAAGCTCACATTTTTCATAAAAGGTGAGGAGATTAATCAACATGTCTCATAGAAGAATAAAGCAAACAGCACAGGGTAAGGGATAGTGTCAGATTACCAAATATGGAAGGCTGGGTAAAGCGGTTCTAGAATTTGAAATAATAATTCTAGAATTTGTGTTCAAGGGAGATATCAATAGGTTTGATAGGATTACTGGAGCAGTGGATAATCTATTTTCAGAAGTTGGCTGAACACACCAACAGCTTTTGTACCACTAACTTAAAAGTGTAAATTAAGCAGTGTATGTTGAAATTGGTTGATTTTCCTTTGTATAATGGTCAATAATGCATTTTAACTAAGAATTCTTAGTGAATTTTCTAATATTGTTATTCCATCCATATCCAAAAATAATATATTTTCTGTTCAGTTGAAAGTCCAAATTTACTTCCACTTGCATTTGGAGAGTAATGAGAAGATGTATAATATATGAATTTTCACATGTTGGAAAAAGTACTTTAACTTGTGTAAAACATACAAGGTTCCTCAGACTTTGTATTATTCAGAACCAGAGATTGTGTTATTCAGAACTTTTGTATACTTTTTGTATACAAAAACCACAGGGTTTAATTGCTTGTCAAATATCAAAACAAATTAGAGAAGACCTTGGAATGAAGTGATAGAGTTCACCATTTAATGTGTGATTTGATCATTTAAAGTTGGAGGAAACAGGTGTAAATAAGGTGGTGGGAGTTGTGGTATGCAGATTTTCTAAGGAAGCTGAGTATGTTCACTAACGAATGCTTCAAATGTGTAGATAATGAATAAATAGGATGATTTCTGCCCCTTGAGAGCTTGATAAATTTGCCCTGGCCTTCATCCTTATTCTAGATTTGAAATTTAAAGTATTGCCTGCCGTTCTTGTGAATCGGCATGAGACAGGGGAAGGGAGGAAACTGTCACATTCTGTTAACCACTTTTGACGTAAAAGCTCTGAATCCCTCCTTGTGGAAGACTCTCTACAGTACCACACTAACCTGTATGTGAAAGTAATTTACTTCTATCCCTTTATTCCCCCCAAATAATAAATAATTATGATCATGATGCATTAGATCCAAAAATTAAAAGCTGCTAGTTTTCATTCTGAAAACAATACAAATACACTTTTTTAAAATCTAATTTTCAAGTTCCTTTCTTCCACCATGAAGTATCTCTGTCTTTTTGCTTCCTCTTTTTTCTACTTTGGCTTCTTTCTCTTTTTTGTGTGGAATCTTATGGATAAATAGTTTCCATAGGTATGTATGAATATCACTGAGTTGATAAAAGGTAGTTAGGACATAATACTTAGAGTGTAGATTTACAGTATTGATTCCATGTAAAGTATAGGTAGTTAATTCATGAGTGATACTTACATTAATATGATACTGGGTTTTTTTCTTATTTTTTTTTCATGTTCATTGAGGCTTTTTTTCTCATTTCCATTAGGGGTTTTAAAACAGTAGTATCTCAAAGTCTTCAATTGTTTTCAAATATGAAGTAGGATCACTACCTAGATATCTTTTTCTTTTCCAATACAGAGCAGCAGAATGTGGCCCTGTGCAAATTACCAGCAGTAATGTATTCAATAAAATGGTATATGTGTGTCTATATAATGCTTGTCCATTTCATACCTGTCTTCCTCTTTGATATCCACGCTTTATAGTTTTGTGGCAAATGAATATCGAGCAGTTGTTAGGAATACCAGAAACAGTATATACTCCTCAGCTAATTTGGAGTATATTTGAGTTCAGTGTTACTTGATTATTCTAAATATTTTAATATATATCATTGCAAACACTGCATACTGTAAGTAACTTGGTAGTTAGCTGAAGTTTCAAGTTGACTCAATGTCCTATGTTTATATTTTTCTAATCTGGAAAGCCTAATAGTATGATACTTATAAAAATTCCTAATCCATAGAAAATGTATTTCTGATTTTTTCCTACCAGTAAAGTCAATATCTGTTTCATAAAGCTTTTATCTACTCTGTAGGACTATCTTAAAGGTCATTAATTTTTGGTAATTTGGCCTCAAAAGGGAGAGTGAGAGTAAGTTTTTCACTGTCTAGAAATCTTTGCTTAGTTGTTCATAATTCATTATGTTGAGCCTCAGCAGTGATAGTATCATCGATTTAATTCTTTAAGAATATTTTAAAAATCATTAAAATGTTTCAATATTAAAACTTAGAATTATGACCTCCATAACTTTTTAATCATTACTGAATTATTAAACTTTTGAAACTTTCTACTTTCTTTTTCACCAATATATTTTTCCCTAAATCACTATCTGTACCAGTCTGTTTGAAAATAAATACTGTCACTGTTCACTTATTACATTATAGTCACCTTGTCTGGAAAATTATCATAATTGTATAACAGTGGAAACTAGTTTATGAACTTTGCACATAGATAACTGTCATATATGGATATTATATTTTATATCAAAATGTCAAAGACTCTCTTTGAGATAGGAAGTTTTATATATTAGAAAATACTTTCAAATGTCACCACTGGAATAATTTTATAATTAGAACTTTCTCAAAACTAGTATTTTATATTTGAAGACTTACTTTAAGGAATTTTCCACTTACAGAAATAAAATATCTAACACAAATATCAAGAGGGCAAAACCCTTAAAGAAATATTGTTCTGAATTTGTGAAAATACTTAAAAGAATAAACACTATGTTCTCTTCAGCGATTCTTTAAGAAAAAGAAATAGTAAAATTCAGTAAAAGGTCAACAAATGCCCATAGCTTTTAGGTTATAAAATGAAATCTGTAAACTTAAGGATTTACTGCAACCAATATTCTTTCCCTGAGAACCATAATATGTATCAAATTATGTCACAGTCTTTGAAAAAAGATCTCTTCCTTTGTCATTCAATGTTAAGATCCATGCTCTTTTGTTTTATTTGTTTATATGCGTAGATGTTTTTTAAAATTTTTATTAGTACACATTTGTAATTCTTAATGATTGCATTCATTGAGGGAGATATTATGCTGTTATTCTGTCCTATGGTTCTAATATACTTTCTTATATGGCCAGTTATTTTTTAATTTGAAACTTGGGCTCTAATCTTCTACTAGAAATTTCATGACTTTTTATTAAATTAGTATAGTTTAACTGTCCTTCATATTATCAATATTAAATTATATTTTTTAGGTTTAAATTTATTTCATTTTATTATTAAAATAGCATGGAAGATATTTGTGCAAAAGGCATGACATTTGTGCAAGAAGATATTTCAGAAGATTAGATCAGAAAGAAAATAAAGTTTAAAGGAAATTATCTAAGACATATATATATAAATTATTTAGCAAATGGTTTGTCATCACAGTTTTTTTAAAAGAAAAACATTTTCATCTTACTTGTAAGAAGAAAACCATTCTATTTTTTTCTCAGTTGAGTAGCAGTAACTTTCTAGGAGTCTAGAAAATCAAATGGAGTCAGTAAATGAAAGTTTAAACAGAAAGTCACTCAACTGATCAGGGAGATAGTGCAGGGCCTTTTCAGACAGTTACGAGCCTCTATGACTTCAACTACAGTATAATGAACTGAAGTTGTTCTTAGTTTGAGATAAACTCCAGAGAGGTCAAAGTAATATGAATGTTCTCGCTGTTTGATGATCACTATAAGCCTACATGTGAGAGTCAAATACCACATGAAACCTAGCTTTAAGTAACTAGTCAAATGCTACACTAAAGCCCCTCTATACTTTCATTTATGGTTTTCTCTTTGTAGGAAGTTAGACGTCAATATTGTGACTTTCTTTTCCTCAGATTCACCTGAGAAATAAGGCAGATGAATGAAAGAGATATTCCATCACTTGATCAGAAATTGCAAGCTCTGACTCACCCTGAAATGGCATACTTTAAAGCAGTTTACTCTTTTAGACTTACCATCATTAGCTCTTTACTAACGATGTCCTTCATCTAGTATTTCTTTTCTATTTTATCTACTCCTACTTCCAGTTTACCTGTTTTGAAAAAAAATACTTGATGCACAAATATAGAAATGAAATCCAGTGTGTCTCTGGACTTGCTTATGATGTGTTTATGCTGCCTGCAGGCACTGAGGGAGCCGTGTTTGGGCGATCGGTGGAGACACCTCACATCAGAGCAGAACCGTCCCAGGACCTCAGGTAAGCTCTCCCTTCTTCCCCACAATGTACTTACCATCAATACTGACCGATCTTGATAGGTGAAGAACTAAAGTAGCACGGGTGCTATGGATACTTGACATTCCATAGCTCCATGGTAAAGTTACTTGACAGCAAGAAAGCGTGAGTTGTTACTGTTCCAATGTCACTACATTTTCCAGGTGTATTTACAATGTGTACAAATATAATAGGCAGTTAGGGTGTAAAAAGGGCGAGAGAGCTAGTTATTGAGGAAGTTGCGGAAGGACTGATAAGAGTGTCTGTAATGTCTCTTGTTTTCTTCAAAATAGCTGTCAATGTCTTCATACATATTGAAATCAAATAATTAAAAACAGACTAAAACCAATCAAAACCAAAAATGAAAGCATTATTTCGACTTCAAAACAAAATGATAGGAAATCATCAATGGCTACCATGTTGCCTTGTTTACTTCAATGTAGCTGTTCATACCATCACACATAATAAAATCAATTCTTGTAAACTCTTTAGGTGAAGTTCTAGAAATCCTGTATTATTTACATTGTTTTGCTCTGATCTGCTTGGTTCTATTTTGTTTTATTCTCTTTAAAATAAAAAAGTAGGGTTTCTGGAAAATCTCTTGCAGACTATGAAATACAAGATGTACTTAACCACAAAAAAGGGAGGCAGAGAATAGGGAGCCCTTTAACTGATCAGGGAGTGTTATGTATTGGGAACTGAAAAATCAGTGAAAATGGTGATCTAGAAAAGGAAGGATTGCATTGCATTGTGATGGTTCTCTCTTTCTAGTAGTCTTCCTATAAGCTGCTTTCTCCGCTAATGAGAAACACAATCATGTAAATGTAAAATTTCTGCCTACATAGGACTCTGACAGAATTTTTCCGAAGAGAATCAAAGTAATGTTTTATAACAGTTGAAATTTTAATGTGTAAGAAACTGATACATAAATATTTCAATTTAAAAAGTAAATTAACTTAGTGGCTTAAAGGTTACATAATTAATTTCTGATAAGTGAATCACACTTCGCGATATATTTACTACAATATTTTTTAAAAGACAGCAATTGTGATAAATAAAAAATATATTCACATGTTTAAAATCACTGTCAAGTTACATAATAGTATCAACATGACAAAATTTCCCCTGTAGAAAACATAATAAGAATATTCTATTAATTAGAAAACACAATTTTTCATAAAGATCATTGTTCAGTCATTTTCATTTAATAAGCAGAAAAAATGCTACAATGAAAACAAAAGAATTCAAATTTCAATACAAAAAGCATAGTTTTACGACAATACGTTTTGCAGACTTGTATGCATTTTCATAAATACAATTATTTAGTGCTGAATTAATAGATCCAGCCAGAATGAATGCTATATTCAGATGACTTTTCCCCCAAATCAGAGGAACAGTCATGGAAGGACCGTGCAAAATAAACTGTAAGCAATGTAAAGTTCATCTACAACATTCTCCTAAAATAATCATGATTGATTAAATGATGAAATAAGATTAACAGCTACTTTGTGAAATATATTGCCTTTTAAGCTTCTCATGAGGAAACCTGTTTTACTCTTTCAAATTTTAAAAGTAACATAATGACCACCTAGAATATGTTCTATAATTTCATTTAATTTAATCATAAATCCTCTTCTGTTTATAAATAGCAACCTAGACACAAATTGTTAATATTTTTAAATAAAATTTAGATAGTATCATTTTAGAAAGGATTTATGCAAGCTATGCCAGGATATTAGATTCGCGGACATGTGTTGCTTTATGCTAAGACTTCTAATGACCTCCGTTTCTCACTAATTGAGAAACAGATTCAACAAGCTAGGGAACAATACCAGGAAAGTGAGCCACATCATATGATCCAAACTTTTTTTTATAAGGGCAACGAAATACTTACACTATGCAAAAGCCAGAGGGATTTAAGCATGCTGAGGAATGCATGCTAATAGCATCTCATAATGTGCTAAGATCTTGACGTGTATATAGCCCTTTTCTCAGGAATTCAGCAACCCCTGTGTGTTTATTTTATTATTTTCTACCTAAGAATATCATAAATTCCAGTAGAATAGGAGCCACAAGTTCCTGGCTTATCAGTGCTACAGCAGGCACAATGGTATCTAATAAATAATAGCTTGATAAATATTTATTAACTTGAACTACTGAAACAGAAAAACTGTATAATGAAAAACTAAACAAATGTGATATAGGGAATGTGGCAGCTGTAGGACACTTGGATGACATAGCTATCAATCATTTTACGATTGTTCTCATAAACAAATAATAAAGTAAAACAAATACCACAGTATCTCACTCCTATCTGGAATAAATAATAAAGTCACACTCACAGAAGTTGAGAGCAGAGTGGCACTTGCAAGACACTGAGGAGCGTACTGGGGAGGTCTGGGTGGAATCTAAAGGGATTGCTGGATTTTGAAGAGATGTCTGTTTAATCCTGTGCAAACATTAAACAATGCACACATGTATTAAAACTTTAAATGGAACCCCATAAATGTGTATATATTATGTGTCATATGTATAACTTGGAAATTAAGTTAACAAATAAAACTACAATAAATTACAGTTAAATTTAATATGTGTGAATTTAACAATTTACCCCAAAAATGTTTAACTTTCTAATTTTTAAAAGAAAATCTCTTATGTCTACTGTTTCAGTAATTATTTACTAATGTTATATTTTACTAATAAATCTATTATTAAAAGAATATGAACTTACTAATATTTTATTTCTCTTGCTGACATGTCTTGAAATTTACAAATATGAATCTGAATTAAATTATAATTATAATGTTTCTATATACTGTATGTAGTGTTTCTGGGTTTTATTTTGTAATCATTCATGCATTATTTAAAAATAAACCTAAGCTAGGTTTATCCTCTAGTGGTAAAAGCAGATTGACAAGCCCCAATGTGAGTAATACTAATCTACATTACAAAACTGAAATAGAGGAAAAATACAGTAATGATTGGGGTGATCAATTATTCATTTGTTTACTAAAATTAAAGCAGAATGTCTGAGAAGAGCTCTACAAGCCTGCTCACAACTCCTTTCAGGGCAAGAGAAGTACTCTGAATGGCCATCTAGCACTAATAAGCAAAATGAAATGAATTGCCCAAGTAAATAAAATAGGAGTTCAGGGAGATAATAGTTATGTTACCTTCTGATCTTTTACTATCAAGAATGAAAGACTAGGAAAGGCTATTTGAAGGGTTGCTAACAGAGTACTTTTTGTAGAAACACGGATTTCTGTAATGAACATCTTCAACATATTTTTCATTACTCAGTCTGTACCAAGTTCTGTGCTAGGCTGCTTGTGCATTTTTAAATTACACCTGTGACTTTTTTTTCATTTATCATATACAGTGATACTGTTTTTTATTCAGTGTGTATATTTTAAAAGACTAAGAGAATACGTGCTCAGTAATTGGTGAGGAAATTATAGTATATTTACCTGGAATTGTACAAGAATTAAAGCTCTTCTTTTTTCAATGTTTGAATTGATACATAATTAAATTATTGTAGTTTAGAGATTTTGCACCCTATTGTGAAAAAGATGAAGGTCATTATATGGTTTTCATTGTGCTTATGAAAGTGTGCACGTGAGATTCACACACTGTTCCAAGAATAAGAAAAGAATCTGGAACTGAAATCAGCAGAATGATTTAATATTTAATTAATATTTAATGGCATACTTGACATTTTTTAATTCTAATTTTCATACAAATGCACTTTAAAAGTGAAATGTCACCATCTGAAGAATCTAAATTAAGCTCTGCAAACTTGTAGCTCTAATTTGCATCAAGCCTGTATTCAAACAAAACACACCATTCATTAAATAATAGGTATTTTTGCCTGAGCCATTTCATCAGTAAAGAGGCAAATTACTCTCTTGGTATTTTTGACTCCTTGAATGAAAAAAAGTGTCTCTATCTATCTATCTATCTGTCTATCTATCTATCTATCTATCTATCTATCTATCTATGTATCTAACTACCTACCTACCTGTCTGTCTGTCTATCATCTACCTATCTGTCTATTAAAATAGTTTTTATCTCCTTTCTCCTCCATCTCTCACAGTCTACCTTCTCTCAGTTTTTATTTCTTTCCTTTCTTTGTTTCATTCTAGTAGTCCATATTTGAGTTATCAGTGAATACGCATGTAAGAGGCTTACAGTGGTTCCAGATCTTGGGAACACAGCATGAATTTATCAAGAGATTTATTTGATCTAACTTGAAGGAGTGAATTGCCATAGAGGTGTAGAATAAAAACTAGTGAGATCTGTCACTGAGAAAGCACAGCATCCTCTGAAGTGACAAGACAGGAAGAGCTCTGCTATGTCCAGGCTGCAGTTGCATTGATTAGTTTTCCACAATGTACATTTCTGTTCTGTTTTACATTCTGTTCTATCATTAAAACTGCAAGTTATTGGTAGGTATCTACTATATCTTTAGCAGTATTAAACATTTAGCTAAACTGAGATACATGACACATTCTCTACAAGTTTCTGTTTAGTAACTACATTAACAGCTTTATAAAACTGGTGTTCATTTCTCATCATACTGAGTGGTTCCTAAAGAAGTAAGTGACTTAAGTTTTCAAATTTAATCATGCATAATACCTTTAATGTCAAATATCATCGGAATTCTAGGCTGACTTGAGAAGCACAAAATACCAAGGAAAAAACCTGTATAACTTATGAATTGAGTAGGAAAATACATCTCCACATCAACCCTATTTTACACTATTATGATTTTTAAAAAGTTATACAAATATTTATCGCTTATCATGTTATCACAGTGTAGAAAGGTAAAAAAAAAAAAAGTTCCAGGAAAATGCAGAGGCAGATCCGCCTCCTACATACACTGCCTTTTGCAGATACCTAGTTTGAGTGTTGTGTAATTACTAGTGTTTGCCTTTATTCCTTTTTTTTAACCTCTGTCTTTGATTTATAGATGATATATCCATTAA